ATATCTCTTATATTTTTATATATTTTTTTATTTTTATAGTTAGAGGGAATATATGAAAATCAAGTAAATTTATAAATGTTTCCATTTTATCATTTCCCATTAGTATATTTTGTCACAATCACGTTTACATTGGACAAAAAGGTTGTGTTTTTTTTTTTTTTTACGGGTAGCCTTCGCTATTTGAATGCCAATGTAATAGTTTTTTTTATTGCAGGTGGACGGTTCCGACAGCAGAAATATACACGCTTGCCCTTCGGCCGCGAATGTCTTCGATTTGCCTAAGCAAACGGAAGGGCCATAAACGTGTGCTAGGCCCTTTCGACCCGACATTAGCATCACTATCAAGGAACCATTGGTCTGTGTGATTGCTTAATCCTGCACAACGGTCTTGGGAACAAAATCCGATCTCTCGATATCTCGCCGGTATCCTGTAATAAAAAAGAAAACAACTCCTTTTAGGAATGTTGAAACTACATACACAATTTATGATGCACATATTTTTCCATCGAGGTTTCTAAGTGCGACAGCCATAAATTAACATTTACTATTAGTCATACTTTTTGTCTTATCAATAATTTGAAATCAATAAATTGGTAGATTTTTATTTTATATTTTTCATCGGTAATATAACTAATAATGCAAAATGTAAATATCATTATTTCAACTATTATTCTGATATTATATTTACATTAGTATTATTTTGATAATAATTAATGTAATATATATGCGTATTTATTATTTACAGAAAATTTAATCAACCGAAATTATTTCAGCGCGCATGAATGAATTGCCGTTATTTTTGGGTAATACACAAAAGCTAGGGCGTACCGTTAAAGGATTATTTCGTTACGAGTTCTGTTGATTTTGGAGGCTAAGCTCGAGGAGCTTTAAACTTCAAGATTATTTAGAACGCTGAGGCGCCGATTGTGCCCGGTGGAATTTAAAGAGGACTCTCTTTCACCTTCCAGCAAATGTTTGCTAGCAACGTGACCGGGAAAATTGTGCGATGCCCGTCGAAGTCATTTGAGCCAACTTCGAGATCGCACCGTCACAAGTGCATTGCAAATACGAGACCTGTCTAGAGCAATTTTCACGAGATCCATTCGATAAGTTTCAATTTTCCCTATGTAGAAAAATTGTGCTGTTGGAAAAATTATTTCAAAAGAGATTATAATATATCGTTCATATATATATATATATTTACTTTTCTCACTATTCTTTCAATTGATATTTGCATTGTTTGTATCATAAACTCGAGATAAATTTGAATTAACAGAAAATCAACAGATATATTACAATGTGAAAATTGAATAATTAATTTTTTAATACTTTAATATATGAATAGAGCTAATTTTATATTAAAGTCAAAGTTCTCAGCACGCAGCGTCAAAATAATCGATCGGGAACTTGATGAACATCGATCAAATTTAATAATTGTGTCTCTAAAATACATTTGTGATGAAACAGCAATTGTCTATTTTTAGCAAGATATTTTTAGCGTAGATAGATGATACAAATAAAAGAAACCAGTGTGTTGTGTTAGAAAGAAAGCGATATCAAAAACGAGTTAAAATTTACCAGTAGAAGATTAGCAATCATCCACTTTGTGAAACTCGACCAACGTGAATTACAATACGGATGTGTCGAGATGCCGATGACGGTCTGCAGGTTGCAGGTAGATACCCGGGGCAAACTTACGCGGATAAATGCATACATATATACGCGCTTACACCCGATAATATTTGATCCCAGAGCGAGAGGAAAGGAGGTGCGCCCGGTTTGTTCCTGCCCGTGCTCAAACAGAGGGTCCTCCGCGGGCCTTGCCGGGCCTTATCTCGATTCTTAAACAAAGGAAATGTCAAGTGGAAGAGACGCGCTTCCTTATCTGATCCTCTCTCTTTCTCGTCGACAACTCGACACGTCGAAGTCAGTTATCCTGAATCCTGCTTCCGTGTTATTCTTTCGACTTCATATAATCACCTTGGTCCAGGATTCTCCCATTCACTGCCGCTCAATTTCCCCAAGATTTTCTTTGGCAGTTACGAGGCGAAAAACTCGCGCGATTGTTTTCTTAAGATGGTGAGATGATTGAGAGCCGAGACCTTTCCGAGGGAATCCATGCTTTAACAGCTTAACGGTTTCAGCCAATTTCCGGGGATACCGATCTCCGAAGACGATGCTTAATCCGTTGTCACGGCTGTCAAGTTAAGTGCATTAGATATCTTATTCATCTTATCGGGTGACAATAGCAGAGTTAATTGATATTTTAGTAAAAATAGCAAACCGCTTAGAAAACATTTAGTAAATTTAAAAATTTTATATATTTTTTTATCTTTATATTATGTTTGCTCATTTATTTATTATAAAAATAGACAAATTATTTGCTTCAATAATTCTTTAATTGTAGGCAATATTTTTAATAATAAATAAAACACTAAAACATTATAATATCTTTTTATTATTTTTTATATAATATTATTATACAGTTTATATAATATAACTTGATTTTATTATATAATTAATAATTTTTTGGTTTTATGAGTATGATATCGCCATCTATTGGAGTTTACTGCTGATTTAATGCATGAAGCTATATCTGAAATGCGAATATGAGCATGATAAAAAGATAAAAGATTTCGATTAAAGTTCAAATTTTATAATAAACAAAGAAAGATTATATTTATCAATACAAAAATTCATATTATAAAAGTGAAGAATTTTATATTTTGTATGATAATTGTACATCATACTGCATAGGAATCTACTATATCTACTGTATTATGAATTTTCCAACAATGAATGAGTTACCAGTATCCAGTATCCAGTTATCATGGACCTTTGCTCTTTACTGCGCGTGAGAGATTTATCTCGAGTCATGACCCTATCTCTTGATGCTAAAAAGAAAAATTTGAACCAATCGATTCCATAATATTTCTCGAAAAAAGCAGCGTTAACTCTATTAAAATCATGTTATACATATATTATACAATTATAAAATATATGAATCTAATTGAGTACATGAAAACAACATAAATATACATTAGATTTAATCAATTTATTCAATTTATGTTCGCCCATTTGACATAATTTAATCAACTTGTTCTCTCTCATCTTTTTTTCTTTTTTTCTTTTAATCTTATCTTAAAGGAAACTTCAATTTTCATCATTCTATATACGCCGTATCAGTATAAATGTATTTTCTTTCAAGGTGAAATTCTTTTATCAGATCTGCCTCTATTTTTTTCCATAGTGAAGTTATAGAAGCTTTATCATGAAAAAATATCCAATATAAACATACATAATTCAGTACAACTATATCTCTTATATGATGTTCAGGCTCGGATCTAGTTCTCGAATATACGAATGAGATATAATTTTTTATTTATTGCATAGATTTTGGTATTACGTAATATTATGACATTCTTATATTCTTGTTATACATATAAACAACTATATAAATTACTATAAAAGCATTTCATTGGGTTGGAGTAAGTCTTATTTTGCACATTTCTGAGATATTGTGATTAACTTTAAAAATATTTTATTTGTATTTTCTGAGGATAGATATAAGCAATTTATATTGGTATATCTTTTCTAAAAAAAGATATATTAAAATCAATATATATTATTGTTTATACATATATTTTTATAAATATATTTTTTGTTTTAAATTATATATGCATAATTATAATTTTTTATCTTTTTCAATTTATAAATTGTTTGTACAAATACGAATTCGTCTAGTAAGTTTTAGCGCAAGAAATTGAAGCAATTAACTTTCTTTCGGCGACCGTATTCTTCGGGAGCAACAAACGACCTTCAGACATCCTTTCACCTTGCTGTGCCAATGTCCTGTTGAGCCACCCTCCGGATTCTTGGGTTCAAAGATTTGAAGGTAAGGATATTTCAAGGCTTTGCTCAAGTCGTTCGCTGAAAATTTCATAATTCAAATAAAAAGATTCGTATGTATGCGAAAGATAGGTTTGAATTTTGGCGATGGTGTATCTTCAAAAACGGATATTGATCTGTGTGTAAAATAATCTCAAGCTTATAAAATATATAATATTTTTCATAAGCTTCTACAGCTACATCAGCAACTAACAATTAAAATCTCCAAGATAAATTAATCCTGAAAAGAGAGAATATATATCTGTGTATATCTTAGAGAAAGACGATAATTAATAATATCTGATCTTAATTTCTTTGTTAATAAACATTTATGACAAAGAATAATAATATTTCTAGTCGCAAACATAAAAATTAAAATATATCAAAAAACGCACAATTGCTACACACACACACACACACACAATTATATTTAAATTTAGAAAAACTTAGAATATGGAAAATATCAAAACGCAAATAAGATTCTTTTATCCACTTTTTTAGCATATGAAGCTTTTATATGTATTGTCATATTTATTTTGTTTTATTTATTTCTATTGCGTTACACACGAAAGATCAAAGAATATAGATTTCAAAGATGCATGGAACTGCTGGAGTATTAATCGGTCATTCACTGGTACATCAACTGCGTCCCTCCTTTTTCCAGTCTTTCAAATATATAATGCTTACGACATATCTTAGCATTCATTTTTTTCATCTCCGACCATTGTCTATGACAATTATCGACCTGTCAAAAAAATCTTTGTGAATCCAGGCAAGTAAATAGACCGCTGAAACAATGAGAGCGCGATAGATCAGTGATGAATGCTACGAAGAGAGACGACGGGGCTGGTCGAACAAACGCGGAGAGGAGTGTCGTCCACGTGGATCAATACCGAAGAGCGTACAGGCGCCTCCACCTTTTGCTACGAGCAGTATTCTCGCGCCGCGGACACGCGTTGCACGCTCCTCCACCGCGTCGGTCCTTCGTGCAAAGGCCCGAGGGTTGACACGGGGACGTCGTCGTTGTCCTTCGTCCTTGCCCCGCGGGAGGATGCGAATCGTCCGTCGATCGGGAAGGAAGGATCCTTAGATCTCGTGCGCGACGTGTCTTACCCGTTCCCGCTTACTCGATGCACTTTTCTTTCATCTTCATTCCGTGATACATCCGGGGAAACACAACACGGGAGGCACTCTTGGATTTGTTCGCTCGCGAGTGAGAAAATCTGCGTGCGTATACCTTTTTTATTCTCTGCCATTTCTCTTTTGATATAAAAATTGTACTTTTATTTCATCTTTTTTTTTTTTGCAATATGTGTTTACTCGGCATCGAAGAAACAAATTTGCTGATTAATTTCTTCCACAGATCAACTAACGTTAGCGTTACATCTAAATTATAGCCAGTGTGCTACGATCTAGAAAAAGAAGGCAATTATGTTTCAGATAACTTTAACCAATAGTTTATTAAAGATAAAGTCGTTATATATATATACATATATATATAATGTATATATGTATAAGCAAACTATATTAGCTTCTTGATCATGAATACAAGAGTCGTTCCTCTTTTCCAAGGTATCTTTTTTAAGAGAAAAAGAAAGTGCGAGAGAAAGAAATACACTCTT